TAGACTTCAGCCGGGCCGCTGGCCGGAGCCAAGCCGGGCCGATAGACATCAGCCAGGCCGCTGGCCGGGGCCGAGCCGGGCCGATAGACATCAGCCGGGCTGCTGGCCGGGGCCGAGCCGGGCCGATAGACATCAGCCGGGCTGCTGTGCTTTGCGAAGTGTCACTCACAGCAAGGTGCAGCCGCTCTCATGGCAGCAGAGGAGCGTAGAGCCGGCATCACATTGACCCTTGCCCTGCGTTACACGGCACCGGGGGAGGGATCATCCATCACCCCCCCGCCCCAGCTAAAGCTCGTTGCCCCCAGCGCCAGGAGGATGAGGGGGGCAGCGCCCGTCCCCGGGGTGCGAATCAGGCAGTCCTGGAGCAAGGCTGGGGGAGGCCAGAAACGGAGGGTCAGTTTCAGTGACCGGTTCACGAGGAAGGCGAGGAGTTGAGTGGCTGGCCTGAGTCCAGGGGCGTGCGAGGTGCAGGCGTGCCATTGTACACGTGCATGCAACACGCCATCCTCCTCGCACGGGGCGCACCAAGCCCTGCTATGCACGCGCCATTTTGTCTGCGTGTCCAGGGGCCAGGCAGAACCATCCCCTGAGCACGGCCAGTCCTGGGCACGCCCTAGCTGTGCTCCAGCGCCAGAGCACTGGCACGGCGCCCACACGGCTGGGCTGGCGTGGAGTGGGAGGGCATCAGGGGGTGCAACACGCCATCCTCCTCGCACGGGGCGCACCAAGCCCTGCTATGCACGCGCCATTTTGTCTGCGTGTCCAGGGGCCAGGCAGAACCATCCCCTGAGCACGGCCAGTCCTGGGCACGCCCTAGCTGTGCTCCAGCGCCAGAGCACTGGCACGGCGCCCACACGGCTGGGCTGGCGTGGAGTGGGAGGGCATCAGGGGGTGCTCGCTGCCAGCCCCGCTCTCAGGATTTCTTCCTCTCTCCCCTGGCCCCGCAGCCTGGCTGCCTGCTCCCGCTGTCTTCGGGGTCGTCATCGACTCCACCTGCCTG